CAAAGATGGAGCTGATGAGGTAAGCTTTCACAATCCTAACACACTTTGATGTTTCATTAGCCAGAATAAAACATGTTCTGATGTTTATACTTTATTATAAGCAGTTATATAGCACCTCAAATTCTTATTGAATAATGGGTTTCAGGTCAGCTTTTTTAATATCATTGGCTTTTGAGACTTCCCATTAGGTGATTTGCCTATGTTACAGTTTTCTGGCATTGTGATTAAAACAAACTTTGGTAGAAATTTTGGTATTAAAGAGCTTTTTGCTTTTATCATTTCTACATCATTGTATTTAATGTAGATCACTTGCTGCTATTTATAGGTATTAAGATACACTTCAGAAAATGTTTTTGTACCACTAACAGTTGGAGGTGGGATTAGAGACTCTACAGATGCAAATGGCAGGTACCCTCTACTTGCTATAATGTGCACTAGTCTTATCTTCGTGCAAGTGGTATTATTAGGCATGCCCTTATTCTGCTTTTCATAAGCAATTGCAATTACAATTACAATTACATGTAGTAGCAATTTCTGTTTTCCCTTTTTTTTTTTTTTTTTCCTCTCAGGTACTATTCAAGTTTGGAAGTTGCTTCAGAATATTTCAGATCTGGGGCTGATAAAATTTCTATCGGAAGTGATGCAGTTTATACTGCAGAGGATTACTTGAAAACTGGAGTATGCAGGGCTTCTCCTGATTAATACCTTCAAGTTGTTAGTCTCAAAATGCTAATGCATGCATGTTTCCCATTTCTAATAGTTTGTCTGAATGCTCCTTTTAGGAAAAGACTGGGAAAAGTAGCTTAGAACAGATTTCTAGAATTTATGGAAACCAGGTAATTCCTTGTTATTGAAGCATCGCCCTCTTCACGTATTTATCTTCATTAACTGTCTTCTGAGAACATTTTCCATGCCATGCTTCTCAGCCTTTCCAAATTTGATCAGTTTCTTATTTTGAGCCTTTCTCTTTGCTTTCTTGAAAATTGAAGAATATTTTTCATGGCTTGCTTCTTAAATTCCAGATAAAAACTGAGTTTTTTTGTTGCTGGTAAGCATAGTAAATTGATGATGAGGTGTTAGACATATGGTGGAAGTTTCATTTCTTCAATTTTTTTGTTTGATTCGATTGATAGATCATTGTATTACCCACATGCTGGCACTATTCTTTCTATGCTTTTCTGTTAATGTCATAAACACATTTTGAAGGGCTATTTGTCTTGCTTTGTAATTGCACTATTGCAGAAACATGTGTGGTATCAACAATTTTGTAATATAGCATGAATTTGCTGACTCTGTAATGAGTTGATTGGATATTTCTGTGGCAGGCAGTTGTTGTAAGTATTGCTCCCCGTGGAGTGTACATCAGTAGTCCCAACGATGACTAGAAGGCAAATATAAATTGTACACCAATCATTTGTATAGAGAATCCAACAGTAGAAGACAACATATGATTATTTTCTAATTATTTTGCTTCTCTCTATTTGATTAGTTTAAGCAAAATGACTTTTTTTTTTGGGAATATATTTTGAATGATTCATTTAATTTTTTTATTTTCTTTACAAATAATCGTATATAATGTATAATACTCGGTTTATAAATTTTGAATGAAAAAAATCAAGCCCTTTTGAAAAATTTTATAAATTGTAATGGTCATTAACATATTAGATTT